CAGTTTGGATATGAGTGTTATTATATTCTTTTAACTCTTTAGCTTAAATTTTTGGATATTATTCAATATTGGATAGATCTATATTATTTTATTAAAATACAACCCACATGTGCAAAAAATATGTTTAAATCATTCTCAAATTATATTTTATAGTTTTCTAAAATTAGAGAGTAATCATTTTGACAAATTAATTAAATAGTTGAGAAGATGTAGGAATATTATAATATCAGATTTTGGAATTGATCACATAATTTATATTTTCTTTCTTGATTGAATCACATTCTAACTTTGAAAATTCTATAAAAAAGTTTTTGAATATCTATAATACTCGGTCACCAGATAATAGAAAGTGGAAGTAGACAATAGACGCAAGTGATTTCTTTATAATTAAACAAAATCCTCTATGACCAGATAAACCTATCATTTTACGTTGATGAATTCAAGATTTATTTTTTATTAATAATAATAGTTTTTTTAGATATTGGTGCTTACATCATTAATATTTTATAATTATAATTCCAAATCATTAAATTGCTCTTAGAACATTAATATTTTAAGACTTTAAACATCACTATTATGTGTAAGGTAAAGTGTTGAAACCAACAAGATTTTATATATTAAAATATCTGAAACTTTTTAATATATTATGATAATCATAAACTTTTTTGCAACTATATTATAGTAAATTCATAAACTAAAAATCAACAATTATAATATTTGACCACGTGCATTGCACGTGCATTCTACCTAGTGAGGGTAAAAGCTTGGGTTTTGAAGGTAAAAAAAATTAGCAATTGGGTGTCTATTCTCACCAACTGAACTATAGAGAGTCTATCCTCATCCCCAAAATCCTTTTTAATGATTTTTAAAGTAAAAAAAATCATATAGGGTCTACTCGCACAAATAGAACTACATGGGGTCTATTTACAAATTAGGTGATGATATAAGGGTCTGTTCGCAATTACCCGTTGGGGAAGCAATCTGGTTCAGCAAACACACAAGTGATTGCTAGGGTTTTTTTTATATAGTGAATATTAAGATGGATAGCCATATTATACTTATGGATAATTGTTAGTATGATATGCCCTAGAGACCAATCATAGAGATGATTGTGTTTAATTTATGTTTATGCAACTTCTATGAATAATCTGTTATTCGGTTCATTGAATAAATCACTTATTATGGATCATTAAGTATGTGACTTGAACATGAAACTCTGTAGTTAGATTATGATGTTATTCTAAATAGTCCTTGTCTTTTGTCATTGGTTGGGACACTAATGATTTTATAGACAGTATGTGGATTGATTGATGATCATGTTTCACGGATCATGGATATGAGATATCAAGTCAATCACATGGGTATATGTTGGTGAACATGATACTGAACTGACCCGCTATGAAACACTGTATGGATTATATGTGTCATCAGTAGGTTTCATACAATGGTTATGTTCGGTCTTTTGACCCGAGATTATCACGGTTTCCTACATGAGGATTGTATACTTTGATGTTACCAAACGTTTTCCCTAAACGGATAATAATAAAGGTATCAATCGGGTATGCTATGAATCATGCAGAGGGATGTGAATGGTCAAGACGGAATTTGTCCCTCTCATATAAATGAGAGTATGATATCTCCGGGCCCTTCGAAGAAGATAGACTGAGAAAGTGCATGGCCATGCCTAATTAGTTGAGAGTCAACTATTGAGAAGTCAGTCTAACTTCAGGTGCGAGAAATTAAAGGTTGAACTGTATAAGGTTGACACGCTTCCTGCCTTGAGTTCAATCAAGATATCTAGTGATGAAGAGACCGACATATGTCCATTGTGGACTAGGTTTCGTCTGAGATGACATTTACATGATTTGGGTAGTCATAATGTCCTGCTAGGGTCCGCTTATGACTTGTGGGCCGAAAAAGTATTTTGGCTCACTGCCAACATCGTGTAAACCTATTGGGTTGCACACAAGAACATGTTGGAACATTATTAAGAAAGCCCGTATAAATTTAGTCATATAGAGATATGATTAGTTGTGAGGCTATCGGGTAATTGGATAAGGATTGATTTGATTAATCACGTTTGAAAGAAATACTGACCAAGTTCAATGAACTTATCTCCTAGCAATCAAATTGATATGATCAATCACGGTTTAAAGATATGATTTGGTTTGAAAAAATTATATTTTGAGAAACCGTCTGATTGGAATCCCGATCTCTTTAGGTTTGAGAAACTATCTCATAGCCCTATAAAAAGGGGCATGAGATGGACCTTTTTTAATCATCCCACCGTGCTTTTGAAATCGTGAGGGAGAGAGAGAAACTCCAATGATCGCCATCTTCAAAGTGCTAGCACACTGACGCGCGGAGTTCCAACAAGTTCGTGTGGATACTAGTAGAGGCGTCGCTTCAATTGCCGCGCAACATCTCAACGAGTACGCAAGTCTTCGTCATTGTAGGCTGTCTAAAAATCACAATGGATAGCTAATCACTATCAAGCCCTGACAATGGAAGTTACAATCAGACGACTTTCTAATCACTGCATCCGCAACTCTACAAATCGCTACAAACACGACCTCATCTCTGAGATGATTGATCTTGATGGCTGCGACAATAACATGACTAATATTATATTAGCAACTATTAGAGATGCTGATGAGCAGTGTAATAATTTCAGAAATAAAAGGTTGGACTTATTTGGTGAGTTGCTTGGTAGAGAGCTGTGGGCAAATATTCATCTAAAAATCAAAATGGATGATTGATCCCCATCAAGTTCCAACAATGGAAGCTACAGTCAAATAGCTTTCGTGCCGACAAACAAATGTTGCAAATAGAGGACCTTTTCACATAGATCGAGAAGAGTTACTATTCAACGACGCTTCTGATAGGTGATGAAAGCTCTATTCGGTGGCCTTCACAATCAACAGTGAGAGTTACAATCTGACGACTTTCACATCCTATAACAGGCAAAGATACATAAGCAGTAGCCTTTGTAATGTTATAATGGACGAGGTTACAAGTCAACAACTTCTCTTAAAAACGCAGAATTTACTTCTGCGTTTCTCAAATCCAAAATGCACACCTCCTGTGCGTTCTCCAGCAGATATCTAATTCTGCAACGCAGAGTTAAAGCACAAAACGCACACATAACGTGCGTTCTTCAACGGACTCAACCATGCGTCCCAAACTCTTGATGCAGAGTTGAATTTCAACGCACAAGCGACCTGTGCGTCTCCAATTCCAGAACGCATGCGGCCTGTGCATTTCAAACCTTTGACAAAGGTTTAACTCTGCGTCTCAGGCCTTAGACGCAGAGTTAAGGCCCAGAACGCCAAATTAGGCGTTTGACTTGTTCAAACACAAGCCGAACGGTCTCAAAACCGTTATCCCACGTTCTGAGGGATTTTTACCCACTTAGGAGCGGATTTAGGGGTTAGTTATACCCCTAATCCCCCTATAAATAACCGACTTACTCAACTGAGTAAGGGGTTGACGAGTGCTGGCATCAAAACCGCTTAAGGTTCACAAATCTCGGCAGCTTAACCGCACGGAGGAGGAGATTTCTCTGAAGATCAACAAACTACCCAGTAGTTAGCAAATTGAATCTAAGGAGATCCCCTCATCAACGGCAAATCAACTTGGCTATCAACCGAATCTTCGGTTCTAACAACTCTATTACAGAGTTTCAACTCGCTCTGAGTTCTGAAACTCCTTTAAGAGTTCGTAATTAAACTTGCAACGCGAGTTAATTACACCAAATCAGTAATTCGGTTTTCAACAACTCTTTTCAGAGTTTCCAACTCGTTCTGAGTTTCTTATACTCGTTAAGAGTTCTAAACCGAGTTCATCACACAAATCAATCGTTCTCGTGAGATAGTACGATCGGATCGTCAACAGAGAGCAAGTTAGACACAAGCAATCGAAGGAGGCACTCCATCGCTACCAAGAAGAACCCAGTTTTAAACAAAGGGGAGAATCAAATTCATTCTCCTCTCTTTTGTAATCGGAATCCAAATTGTAATCGATTTTAAGAGAATACAAGTCAATTTTTCTTTCATTGTCTTTTTACATCAAATTTTCCACAAACAGTCATTTATCTGCACGTTTCAGGTAATTTTTATCTTGGATCTTCTTCTACATATGGAGGATGTAGGTGGTCAAAATTTTGTTTTAACTGCATATTAGTCTGCCTACTTTCCGACAATAATTACATCAGATACCCTAAGGTATGATGCAATTACACAATTGATTTCAAAGTATGCATATCTACATGAGTAATCTTGAGATTAATGATTGTAATTGCAAGGGTGATATTGAACTATGCATAGAAACTTGTTTAGTAATTAATTAGAGTGAATGATTATATTTGGGAATAAAACAAGGAGGTTTCAGAAGCAAGGAGAACATACGAAATATATCGTTCAAGTCTGAGATATATGACTATTAAATCTTAATGTATAAATCTTAAACACATCACTACTCCATCTTGATGTGAACATTCTCCAGACAATAGTACCTAACTGATAGTATGTAATTTGATTAAAATAGGTTGGGCATCAAAAAGTTGAGTCTTTCGGAAACTTAGTTTTGCACCTGACACGCTCTAAGCTTAACCTTATTTATTGTACGGAACTTTTCTAGTACATTGACATAAAATTTCCGACATTTTCAGTTCTATGAGGTCTTAACCTACTGGAGATGGCAACCGAAATTAGCAGTGCCAAATAAAGCAGTAACCTAACCTTATGAAAGAAATTAAGGTATCTCTCTCTAGCAAAAGTTTCGTGTTGGAAACAGGGATCGGCATAAATTTCCCACAAATGCATTTTTCTTCTTCAGTTCCTAAGATCTTTGCCTTGCCTTTTAATAGATACAATCCTTGAAAGGAGGAGGGCTGAGTAAATAGAAGTTGAACATGGACTAGATATTGTTAACGGCACAACTAGAAGCTAGCGTGTGATTTTTGTATCTTTTGCTGTCGAATGGAAAAATATGCAATTACATGTGAAATTTAAATAGATCTTATTAATTAGCAAATTCAAATTACATAAGCTTTCAGATATTTGAAATAACTATCGGGATTACATATGCTTTCATATCATTTATTAGTCCCTGGCCTTCGATCTTCAAGTGTCGACGATGAACTTTTTTTTTTCTTTTCCGCGAAAACCTTCTGAACTTTAAAATCTTTCCACACCTAATAGTGTCAATGGATCAAAAGGCACCTATTTGGGTGGGAAAAAAAAGGCTGGCGGCGCCATTAACACTGTTAGGCGGTCTGTTGAAGTTATTTGGAAGTTTTGGGTGGGGGTTTGTGAGGTACTCCAATCTTCACAGGGTTTCCTGAGCTCTTCACATGAAGTCCAAGCTAACTGCTGCAGACTGACATATGAATATTCTAGCATGTGACAAACTAAGCACATATAGCACGAAAGAAATATTTGTTTCAGCCAAAAGTGATCTTGTGAGCACTGGAGAAATGCTTAGCAGCAGCAATCACTGCTGCTTCACCTTTAGGTTCACCATGAGATGAAGATGTCGACACAATCTTTTTGACATCATGGATCTTATTCGCTGGACAGAAGCATGAAAACCATGAGGCTAACATTTTCAAGTGCAAGATTGCTCCCTTAATTATCACCTCTCTGAGTCTGGATGAGAAACTTGATGAGCTAATTGAGGGTTTGAGTGTGTCTCCCTTAATTATCACCTCTCTGAGTCTGGATGAGAAACTTGATGAGCTAATTGAGGGTTTGAGTGTGTTTAGAGACTTTGGAATTCTAATTCGAGGTATATAGGATGATTACTGCTGCTCTGTTGGTTGCTGATTGAAGTTTGAAGGACTCATGTTTTATTTATACAGAGAGGCTGGGCTAGGATTTCGTGATGACCAAGTTTGGAGTGCAAACTTGACCAATTTCTTCTTCCTTCTACTCGCTGCTTTTCATTAGTCAAACTTGTCACACGTTTTCTTGGTAGTTACCTGATTAAACAAAAGTTTAAAATGCACTTAAATATCATATAGTTTCACCTACGTACTTTGCGCATATATAACCCCTGTTGTATATGGCCACACTTAAACACCTTAAAGTTTCTAAAAGTCACGCTTACATACCCTCTGTTATGCAAACGTGAGCACCAAAAATTCTCACGCGATACACCCATACTAATTTTAGAACATCTAACTCTTAATTTTATTAAATTTATTGTTAAGCATGCAAATCCTAATTTAAAATAGAATTATAATAGATTTAAAATAAAATTTTAATAGGTTTAACGATACATTATAAAAAATAAGGATTAAAATGTTCTAAAATTAGCATGTGAATATTGCATGAGAATTTTCGAGGGGAAATTAAAAAATAAGGATTAAAATGTTCTAAAATTAGCATGTGAATATTGCATGAGAATTTTCGAGGGGAAATTCTCAAGTTTGCATAATTAAGAATTGAAGGTATTAAAGTATAAATTTTAAAAACTTTAGAGTATTAAGTACAACTAAATATATCTGAAGGTATATGTATGCAAAGTAGGTGAAGCTACAGGGTATTTAAGTGCAATTAAGCGTAAATAAAATAAAAGCTCGTGTCCACTAGCATTATATGTTTTTTAAATGCAAAATATAGTGCGTCGTCATGCTATCTCATGCTAGTTGAGCCATCTTGCTTAACGTTTAAGCTAAAGTTGCGCGGCGGCCGGTCTATGAATACTGTAGTTGTCATCTCCCTCGTGTTTCTTGTTGACCAAGTTAACATTTCTAGAAAATGAACAGATGTACCATGAAGTATGGTGATCGAACAAAAACCATTCCCTCCCCTTTTTGACTATACTAGGAGAGGTACACGTGCCTTTCATGTGGTTATTTGTTCTGTTTATTTCTTTAGTATAACTTGGTGGTAAAAAACATGTTTCTTTTAATTCTTAACTTGATAATGTAATATTACTTGTGAACTTTTTTAATACTTACATTCATGTACTTTCAGCTTTCATTTTATGTGTCATTGTGACCATGAGCAATGTAAACTACACATTATTCGAAAAAAATTATTCGCTCATATAGTAATCAATTTCTTCAATGCCTCAAATCTAATAATAACACATGACATAAAATTCTTATGAAGTAAAAAAAAGGGGGGAAATCTTCTATCTTAATCCCTAATGGCTGTAGAATAAAAAACCCATCACGATTTAAGAAAACCTCTCCATAAGTTTGCAAAGATAATCACATTGAGCTATTAGGTTGCTCAATTCTTATTATTTTAAAATTAATTCATCAAATCATTGAAATAGCTATTACATCCGCAATTCTTAAGTTATTTTGATATCAGCTTTTCCAATCAAGAGTAAAAAAAGGCAATTAGAGGGAAATTAGCTCCTCAAATTGCTAATTATACCATTGATTTGAATGACTAATTTCAAATAACTTAAGAATTGAGTTATCTAATAATAATTTTAATGATTTGACGTACTAATTTCAAAATATGAAAAGTTTAAGGGACTACTACAAAAATATTTTAATCAATTAATTTTTGTTAATAATTAATTAATTCTATAATTTGGTATCAGGGAGAATCCACTATCACAACCGGGTTTTCTATGTTCACCCGAATAACGTTTACACCTCACAATTTCTCTCACGGAGTTCGGTCCCCACGACCTACGTCTCCGCTCCTCACCTCGAGGGGATCTATACTATACACTCTCACAATGTGGCTACACTCCACCGTCACAATACGGTTTTCTAGTTCACCGGAAACTTCACAACACACTCAATGTAACAAATATAAATTTGTTCTCAACTATGGATGAGAACACAATGAAACACAACTCAACTATGGATGAGAACACAATGAAAGCTCACACTCAATGTTACAACTCTCACAATCCCAAATATATTATGAATGTAACTACAATAAGCCAATCCCAAATATATTATGAATGTAACTACAATAAGCTCAAGTGGGTGTGTGTAACAATGAGATAAAATAAAATCTAAACTCAATAAAAAATTAGCTTTAATAGAGATGATAATTAACAAATAATTAATACATAAAAACTAGAGTTAAGTTTAGGAAAACTTCTCTAGATGACAAGAGAGAGATGGATTGAATGCCCAAAATGTAATTAATAATCTCCTCAAGCTCTTGTAAAACAGATTCACCAAACCGAAACACTCAAATGCTTAAAAGCTTATAAACACACTTAAACCAACTTAAACCCTTGATTAAAACTCTTTAAAACATTTATTGCTTACATGAAAACTAAGATCAAAGAGGGTTTTTATAGCCTCCAAGACCTCACCCAAAAACCAAACAAAATGACCAAAAAACCATTCTGCAACGGCTCTAAAAAGAGCCGTTAGAACTGCAGCCGTCGACCAAGGAAAACCGCGGTCGACCGCGAGCAAAGAAAGAAGCGGAGAAAAGTTCCAGACAGTTCATCGGTCGACCGGCGGAAAAATCGGTCGACCGGCGGTACTGTAGCAGGTATATCCGAGTTTATAAAATCGGTTAAAAATAGTAAAACAGATCCAAAAATTATGAAATTTTGAGAGAAGGTTATGGACATGTATAAAAACATGTTAGAGAAAGAATTTCTGAAAAAATATTTCCCAGTTGAGAGAAATAAATGTTTTAACACAGAAATACAGTTTCTGAAAATCTGCTGTGATACACGAATTTGTAAAATCAACTAGGCACAGTAAATCAACTCCAAAAATAGTAAAATTTTGAGGGAAGTTTCTAAACATGTAGGTAAACATGTCAGAGAAAGAATTTTCCAAATATAACTTCCCATTTGAGAAAAATCATCAGTTTTGTAAAACATGCACGAACATGTGCACGAACGAAAACGTGAATTTGTAAATTCCTTTAAACATAACAAATCAATTCCAAACTTGATGAAACTTTGAGAAATGTTTGCAAATGATATTTTGAACATGTTACAAAAAGAATTTTCCAATTTTCATTTCCCAATTGTGAAATCTCATTATTTTGCAAAAGTGTTCAAAACATGAAAAAAGTGATATACATGAAGTTTGATGTTTTGACATAAACAATGTTTTGAAACTTTGCACAATGATTATATAGACTTGATAAAATATGTATATGATGATTGTTAAGTCTATAAACTGAGAATACAATATTTGAGCTTAGAAACCAAATACGTGTGTGTATATGATATTGAGCTTAGAGTATCTAACACAAACTATGAATTGCATGTTGCTTCACTCCACAATTCCGCCAACCTCCATTTGATATCGTCGTTATGGCGCAATCCATCCATCCTCCAACGACGTTGTTTGTCTATAATACATAGGAAAACACAAATACTAGACAAACAACATTAGTGGTAAATTATTTGTTAAACATCATCAAAATAAGAAGGCCAACAAGCTCCTCAAATTGATAATTATACCATTGATTTGAATGACTAATTTCAAATAACTTAAGAATTGAGTTATCTAATAATAATTTTAATGATTTGACGTACTAATTTCAAAATAGGAAAAGTTTAAGGGACTACTACAAAAATATTTTAATCAATTAATTTTTGTTAATAATTAATTAATTCTATAATTTGGTATCAATTAATTGGTTAATATTTACACGTGCAATGCATATTATGTTACAATGCTAATATGTTGTAAGCTTCTTTCTACTCTTTAATTATTTACCAATTCTAATTAGATCAAATTTTAATTAATTGGTTTTGAATGGAGAGAGCTTTAATTCGGGAGTTTAAACTTCTTTATACTCTTTAGTTGTCAAACAATTCTAACTAGATCAATTTTTTATTAATTAGTTTTGAATGGAGAGAGCTTTAATTTAGGAGTTTAATTTTAATTTAATAGCTTTAGTTTTTTGGTCAATGAAATAAACTTGTATTCATCTTTCAAATTTTGAAAATGTGAGTACATCAAATCTTTACCAGATCATGTCTGGCAAGAAGCAAAAATTGCAGTCTTCTCAACAAGATAGGCTAGCTTACATTTTCTCTATTCTTTCCTTCGTATGATCAGGGATTTTCTCATTTAGAACTTTTGATAGGATAGATATCTTCACCTCTCGGAGTAATTGATTAGGTGCACGAATTTTTTGTTGGAAGATCCTCTGATTCTTCTCCTTCCAAATCCAATACACAGTTGTCGATAGTGCCATTCTTTTTATTTTCTTCATGAATCCCAGCCCCTTCAAATTGGTTCTATACCAGTTTATAATTTGATTCCAACTGCATGATCTCCAAGCATAGCCTAACCATTCCATCACTTCATTCCAGATGTATGCAGAGCATTAACATTCAAAAAACAAGTGCTTACAGGTTTCCTGATGAGCCTAGCACAAGACACATTGGTTTTCATTTATCATTCCTAGTCTGCATAACCTGTCTTGTGTCAGGATCCGGGAGTGCCAAGTCCCAGATCCAAAAAATGCCAGCCCCTAACTCAGTTGAGTTTACCCATATTTATAGGGAATTAAGGGGTGTAACCGCCCCCTTAATTCTCTCCATAGTGGGGCGGAAATCCCTCAAATCCTGAAGGGAAAACGGTTCCCGCAACCGTTCAGCTCGTGTTTGAACGAGTCAAACGCTCACGTGGGCGTTTAGGATCCTAACTCCGCATTTTAGAATTGAGACACGCGGAGTTGGGTACTCGCTGGGCATTGAAAAACGCGGGTGTTTGTTGGAAAAATTGTAAAGAAGAGAATAAAGAAAATGTGACTTTGATTCCTTTGATCTCGGTTACAACTTGATTACAAAAGAGAGGAAAACGAATTTGATTTTCCCCTTTGTTTAAAACTGGGTTCTTCTTGGCAGCGATG